TGAGAATGCTCTGTAAAGACGGGGAACAGAATAAGTGGAGCAAAATTCAAACTGTTGAGTTCACATGCTCTTTTTTTTTTTTTTTTTTTTTTAAGATAACTTACAAAATTAAAGAGTGTCTTTTGGAACCTTTCATTTATGCCTCGTATTATTCCTGTAGTAGTAGGCAGCATATACTGATAATCTAGAACCGGATTATTCTGTGATCTTTACAAAAGTAGTGCAATGCAGTTTGCGCTCTCCTGGTGTACCAGTCGTGTATCCTTCTTTACTTTTTATTTTGACCCGTTGTGTCGTATAGTATCAAAGTGCAGCCTCTGAGTATCTTTCATGTTCCACTTCAGAGAGGAAGTGGTGTATCCCTGTATGTACCATCTGAAAGATCAGGTACTAGAAGATATTCTAGATCTCACCACAGATAACTTGTTTCAAATGACTTTTCTCTGTTAGGCAAGAGCCTAACATGCTGAACCCAGCTAACAAGAACTAAGAAATACATAACTCCTAACCCAATAATTAGCCAGACAATTTGCACTCTTTTTTTTGCTCTTCATTTCAATTGATCAGGGTTTACCATTTGCTCGCCCCCTAAGCACTTGTCTTGAGGAGTGCATGCTGTATATCTAAAAGGGGTGTTGCTGTTCCTCCATACTATATTACTGTTCACGTCTACTGGTCTGGTTGCTGTGATGCTGCTTTATATATCCCTACAGAATTGCTAAGGATCCTCGATTTGAACGCCTGCCGTGTACACACAAAGGGACCTATGCAGATGACTGCTTGGTACAGAGGGTCACTCAGGTACTTCTGTTTCTGACGGTTCCTATGCTGCACTAACACACTAAATGTTGCTGAACCCTCCTAGCTACTGATGACTTAAACATTTCCTGCAAAAATGGTAAGATCTGGTTAAGGGGCAGTTTCGGGCCCTAGTGTAACGTAGGAGGGCACAGTCTCCCCAGAGCATTCTTGTTGTATTAAGAGAGTATCAAAGAGCAGCTAGGATGGGAAGGGTGGCAGCTGGGAGGGCTGGACAGCCTTTGGATGTTTCTTGGATTCTTTGGATGAGCAGAAGGATGTTTCTAATCTGCTCTGCAATTTTGTACCGGGCACCCTGGCATTCTAGCCTGGTAGTGCCTCGCAAAGGACTTGTACCCTCTGGTGTAACATGAGCTAAGTGAATAGAAGCTTTTGCTCAGCTTTGTCTGCTTTATGCTGGTTCACTGATGCTGAATCTGACTTGCCTCTTCTTTGCAGCACAAATGTTACATAGTGGCCACAGTGGATAAAGAGCTCAAGCGCAGAATACGAAAAATCCCAGGAGTGCCTATAATGTATATTTCCAGGCACAGGTAAGGGACCTCTCACAGGAGGGAACATTGCCTGGCAGAATTGTTGTCAGATACTTTACTGCTATCTCGTTTGAGCTTTCTCTCTTGCATTTTTTATAGCACACGTTACTGTAAAGCGCCTAGCGTTTGCCTAAAGTAGCAGTATGTTTGCTTCTGGGAAAAGACTGATTGCACACCCATCTCTACTGCAGTGTCCATATTCACTTGCTTTTACATGGAAAACTGGCTTCCTTGAGGCCAGTGTTTCCATAGATTAGTTTTGCTTATCAGCCATGTCATCAGGATTATCAGGCAAATATTTTGTACAGGTTCCTGAGGAAAAAGTCTTGTTCTGTTCTACTTGGTAGCTTTGTGTACCCTCAGCTAAGAGACTGAATTTACTTTTTAGCCAAAAGTCAAACCAGCTTGGAAGGATGCTGGTGTGTTTGCTACCTCCAGTATTTTAATTTTTCTTCTACATAACGTACAACCTAGAAGTTTCGTCTTGCAAAGCAACTATATTAAACTGTTTCACAGTGTGGTAAATAGGGAGAGAAATCAGGATGTGGAGAGAAAAGAGAGAAAGTCTTCAGACAGGATGAGAGGGACACTAGAAGGGAGGCAGTTGTGCTAACAGCGGAGAGCAGGAGCCTAGTAATAGGCAGGGAGCAGTATGTCACAAACAAGGAGGCTGATTGCTATAAATATGCAAGGTCTTAACTGATCTGTAACTGGAATGCGGCTCAGAACATTTTTCTCTCAAAACATCTCTGCCCCTGTTGTACCCACGAATCTATGTTGAATGGCTGAAGTTTTATTCTCCACGGTGGTCTGGTACTAAAATTAAAGTCTTAACATTACTTCATAAGTCAGATCTTACGAAAATACCGTTTTTTTTTCCTCTGGTGAGTTTCTAAGATGCCTGAGCCCTGGAGAGTTTGGGTTGGAGGACAGTGATGACCTTACGAAGCCTTCACTTTTCTGAGAAGTAATACTTTCTTCTTCCTGGAGATCCGGGCTGCAGATAGAAATGGAACAAAACTTCTTGCTAGCAGTTCAGTTTGCCTGTAAGCTTCTTGCTGCTTGGGGAAGGAGGTAATACAGAGTAGGTTTTCTTCACAGGTGTTCCCTCTTTCTCTTGCAGATACAACATTGAGAGGATGCCAGATGATTATGGAGCTCCTCGATTCTAGCCTCTCTGGGCAACCCATCAATGCCAGGATAAGAGTCCTTCTGTTTCCAACCCTCTTGCTGTCTTTTTGATGAGACCCTGCTCCTATGACTATGGGTGACATTGGACTGACTTCATAGCCTTGATCTTCTAAGAAGAAGCCACTTGGAAGCCTCTGCTTTTATTCGTCCTTTTTCTGACTGTGCTGAGAAGCTGGGAGAAGGATATGAGAAAAGGGGGACTGCAGGGCAAAGAACATGCCTGAATCCCTCCTCATGTTCATGTTGGGATCATTGGAAAAAGTCCTCTCAGCATCTTGAATTAAATATTGGTAACCGTCCAACTACAGCTGAGCATGGATTCACAGAAGTTTTGAAGTTTCTTATCTCTACACCTGCAGCAGGACAAGTATTCCTGTGGCAAACTCCCTCACATCTGCCCCACAGGCAAACCGGAATCTATGTTCTGGAGAAAAACAGTCAAGTCTGCACCAGCTGGCATCCCTCCTCTGGACCACTGGACTGAAAGGAATTTATTTTATTTTATTTTTTTTTTTAGAATTGATGGTTTTTAATCAACCGCACCTCAATACAGTGAGTGAAATTGGATTAGCGTCCTGCTCATATTCCTGAAACTCAGTGCACTGCTGTGTATTTATCAGCTTTTCTCTTGGTTTTATATGTTCTTAGTACATTCTTAATATTTCTTCATACCTTAGATACAAGGTGTGTTGGTAAGGTGGCATACTCCCACAGGCTATTTGTACTGGACCAGATGGCAGCCCAGCCCTTTTCGTTATGTGCACAAGGTGGTGGTAGGGGATCTTTCTGGGAATGGGGACAGTCTTCCTCCTTTTTGCTTGGCACCTACCTATCTTAAAGCCTCATCCCTTTCCATAGGTGTCATGAAAAGGAAGAGGTCAGACTGTGAAAGGTATTAATGTGGGCTGGGAGCAGAATACTTGGGGGGGAATCAGAGCAATGGCTGAGAATAAAACTGTCTCGCAGAAACCCTGAGCATTTGCAGTAACATGGGAAGAAAGTCGTCAGAGGAGCGACAGAAAAGGAATGATGAAACTGCATGGAGAAACGTAGAAAAAATGTTTCAAAGCTATGTCATATCTGTTCTCCCCAAGGCATGTTCTGCGTTCTCATATCTTCTCTGTAGCTCGTTAATTTGTAGGCCGTCTGCTGATCTCTGCCTCTCTGGGGGGAGGACAATTGTTTTAAGACTGGGAGGCAAGAGAGAAAATGAGGGTCATGGGGCCAAGATGCCATAGAGTGCTTCCTGGCCAAAGTGCAGGAGTTGAGCTGTGATAAATGGGGGACTGAGAATTGATATTCTTGGTATAGTTAAGAAAATTTCCAAACTTTAATAGAGCTTTTATCCTGTGATGCGTTACACTGGTCCAAACTGTAGAGAATAGCTGGACTCAAACCTCTGCATGCCAGGCAGCATACAGTGAAGATAATGCCTCTCCTCCATTAATCATTTCCTGTCTTTGGGCAATGCTCCAACATGCCAATAATTGCAAACACCCTGCTTCTACAGATGTTACAGGAAATTTTGAGAACGCATCAGACTTGCCCCTCACACTATGTCGTTGTTTCCTGCAGGCTCACCTCTGCAGTAAACTCATCCCTGAAATACAGCATACTGACACTTTCAAAATGCATGAGCCCCTTTCAAGCTATCACAGTTGGAAGTTTTATCTTTGAGATTTGACTATTGGTGTGTAATTGCACACTTCAAAAAAAAAAAAAACCCAAATTTTCTCCTGTCTATCCAAGTCACATTTCTTTAAGCTAAATTTAAGTATCATCATGAACACTTAAAGACTATGCATGGTCAAACAAGGACTCAGATCTAGGATTAGATCTGTGTAGCTGAATTTTCAGAATAATTCTAAATTTAAGAGACTTCTTCAGGGCAGAGCTAACTCGAGTTACCTCTGTGCAAGCTTCATTTGAGTTAACCTAACTTGAAGGAGACTGGAGAAGAAAGAAATGGCTTTCCCGTGGTAATATTTGATGGAAGTCTTTCTGGCTCTGGAAAAGAGGATACGGGCAAAGCAAAGTGATGACTTTTGGGAATGTTTGACTACTGGTAGACATTCACACAAAAAAACATCCTTATTGGATGGACTTCACCCAAATATATGTATGGAGCATGAACTGCATATAGGAATCAAGGCAAATATGCTTATTTACAAGAAGCTTTAATTTAAGGCGTAAAGGACGTACCCAAGTCTGTCCTGCTTGTTTTAGTAACAGAAGGAGGAGGCTAGAATAGGCATAAGGCAATTGATAAGAAATATAACCTGGTTGGAGGATAAGCAGCAGGGAGAAAGTGTTAACAGTGATTGAAACCACCAGGAAGGCCATGTATTTAATGAAAAGTTTACTCCTAAAATGAGTAAAATCAGCCAGACAACACTGAGAAGTGTGGGTATTAACAAAAAGAACCGGGAAGGACCACCCGGGTCGTCAGGGCCGTGCCCTGCAGTCTTAGGGAACCCATGTACCAAACGCTTGGTTCAGAGGAAAGTATTTACTCTGTGCACACCACAGCATTCCAACCTCAGATTACAATATTTCAAGGAGGAAAGATCATGATCTGAATAATGGCAAGGAGTTTGGTAAATGAGAATGTCCGGATGTTCCTACAACTGCAGAGCTCTGTTAGTCCCAATCAGAAGAGAAATTCCTTCCTGACCCAAGTCTGGCAGTTGGTTTAAACCTGCGGACAAAAATAGCCAAAGCAAGCCCGATACTCAAAATAAGTTAGGCAGTGGAAGGGACAAAAGCATTTCTATTCCTTGGGGGGGAGAAGGGACCCAGAAATACAAAATTGCTGCACCATAATTATAGTGTATTAAATGTTATCAGCAAATGAAGAAATTCAATGAAGAAATAAAGTGCTAATCCCAGCTATGACACTAGATAATCCAGGGATAGCTGAATTGTAGCGAAACAGCAATTAGAAGCAGGAAGCGTCCAAGAGTATGAGCTATTTTAAAAAATGAACTAAAAATAGCAGGTTGACATACATTAATGATGTCATAGACTGTAAAAGAACAAGAAGGCATAACGTGGATAAAACAGGATGGCTTCGGGGCAAGGTAATGTTGAGTAAAGGAATAAATGTATCTTGGTCCGGGAGGAGTCAACACCCCTATCTCCATCAACAGATTTGGGTATTGATGTTAACCTCTGTCAAGTTACTGGAACCTAAACCTAATTTTGGTCTCCTAGAGAGAGTTTGGACAACACTTGCAAAATGATTGAGTACAAATATTTCTTCATAAGAGAAGTAACAGATTTCTTCACTGTACTGATCAACCACAGCAAAGAGCAAGAATATTGCGAGAGACCTGACTTTAGGAAATAATCTTGAATGAAATGATCACAAAAAAATTCATTCTGAGTCAGTCAATCAGCATAAATCAAAGGATGTTTGTAACGGTCCTCTTTTGGAAAAAGGACTTTCAAAAGCTTAACCAGTGAGCAAACTGGCCCAAAGGGCTTGGGGACGTAAATGTCAAGGGTAGGATTTTGGGAGGGATCTGGAAGTGCAAACGCTATCTGGAATTCATATTCACTGTAAGAGAAATCTTACTGGGAAGCGCTCTAGACAGAAAAGGATACTAAATAATTTAAAAAATAGTTCTGGGTGTATTGAATTAATGAAGGTGGTTTTCCTAAAGACTTGTGTTTTATAAATTGCGTGTCGGCTCTTCTTGAAGCTTTTCTTATGGGTTCATGTTTGTATCGTGTGTCACCGCTTTGGATTCCCTGGGATTTAACAAGAAATGAATACAAAGTCTAGCTTTTCTGCCGGAGAGGACAGAGCTTTTTTCTGTACCTGGCCATCTATCGTTGCCTTTGCCTCCAACACCTGTCTCTTCCCACTGGCCACAGATCCTTGATTTTCCAGCAGTGAACTGGAGATTGAACATCAGAACCGTTGCACAAATTCTCTTCATTTTGGGAAGGATGGCAAGCGGCAAGACAGCGCAATGCAGCTGCAATTCTGACCAAAACAACAGCCACTAAGCTTCACTGTCCAGCTGACAGAATTCAAATTTAATAAGCCCTGGCAAAATTTTCTCTACAACACAAGTTCAGCACTTCACACAACTCTTTGCTAACTGGCTACAGAGCATACCGATGTGTTTGACTCATACTTAAGCGTGGGGAGGGAGAAACACAGGAAAAATCTTTCCTCCTCCTCAGTCTAATTGCTTCTGTAAGGGATGAGGCAATTTTACACATCCTTTTCACCATCACTCGCTCCATTTTTGCCACCCAGATTTATCACCTTGCTCTTCACTGAAAATGAAGTGAAAATACTTGTGTCGTTTTAGGTGCTGGATTATCTATCGCCGCACCAATCCCCCCGCGGGTGGCCCAGGACCATCATTTACAAGGCTGAAGGACCCTTCTGAGGGTTTGAGTCGCTTTCCGAGGGCCTCACCCAGCTCGGTTTTTAGCAGTCGCCATCGCCCCCCTCCATCCGCTAAAGCAATTAGCACTGGCATCGCAGGGCGGTTCATAATCACGGTTTTCCCCGTAACGGGGTGGAGACAGGGCGGCGGGGGGCATGCGCCAGCGGCGC